TGTTAGGGGACGCACACGGCCTCTCTCTAAATAAAACTTTGTCTCAGTTTGACTGCCTTGTGTTTTTGTGCCCAACCGGGTTGCAAGATTGCAAGCCCGCGCGCACTGACAGCTCAGCAGGGAATCGCTCAGCAGGGGTGCGGCAGGCAGGGCTCGGCGATAGAGGCGGCAGGAGCGGAACTCAGCCGACCCGGGGCGGGCAGCCTGCGGCAGCCTGGTGCAGGATTTAGGGCACCAGGTGAGCTGGTTCTCTACCTTAGGAAAGCGCCTTGGGCTAACACTGTGCAGAGGCTGGAGAGAGCTCTGACCAGCACAAGAAAATCAGAGGCCTGGGTAGTGTGCCTGCCAAGCTAGTAACCTGAGCCCTTGCCCCAGCAGGTTTGACAGCTCAGGAGTTGGTAGGGGGTAAGTGTAAATGTGTGTGTGACTGACAAGCAGATCGTTCTGGTCTAATGCTCTTGGCAGGAGCAGCCTTGTGGGAAAGGATTGAAAGAACACAAACATGAGCCCTTCCCCCAATCTCCTCTCCCTTCAAGCTCTGCCTCCAGAATACCCAATCCTCTGCCCACATAACTTAGCAGATGAGCCTGTTCCCCAGGAAAGGCAAAGGCAAAGGCACCCCCAGGCCAGCCTTGGTAGCAGTCCCTCAGGTCTGACCTGATCTTGACGACTTGTCCTGCCCTTGGATGCAGAGGTTCATCCGATAGCATCACCTCTGGGACCCTGGCATCTCAAACCCCTGCTCAAGAAAACACAGCTGCAGGCTGAAGGATGGGGCTGCAGAAAAGGGGGATTCGTGGTGGATTTTCAGTTAGGAAAGTGTCTGGCACTAACTCTTGCCTCTTGAGTTCTGAAGGTTCACACCTCCTGGCTCTCCTTTCTCCCTGGTCACTCTTTCTCAATGTCCCTCATTGTCTCCTTCTCTTTTCCTCCCATTTCTTCTAAGTAAGGATTAGGGATTTTCTCCTAAGCAAAATGAGAGTTTGCGTGACTCATTCCAGACCATTCTCTCTGTACAGTCTGTGTAGGGGACTCATCCTTTCTCATTCTCTGAAGTATCTCTACATACTAATGATCCTTAAATTCATGATCTCTAGCCCCAAACTCTAGTCTTCTATATCCACCTGACTACTCTAGACCTTTGTTTCTCATGAGCACCTCAAACTCAATATCCTTTAAACTGAACTTGTACTTGTCCTCTAATAAATCCTACTGATTCTAGTCCCAAAATATATATCAAATGTATTTATCTTTTCTCCATCTCTTCTGCTTCCTCCCTCACCTAAACCAACAGTATCCCTCCCACTAAACTGGCCCTGCCCACTTCTTTCCTGACACTGTCTCTTAAATTGACCCTAAATTCATTGTTACTACAACAACCTGAGTGATCTGGTTAAACTACTAATCAAATCATTTTAGTTTCCTAAACCCCTCAATGGCTGCTTATTGTTTTCAGAATGAAAGCTAATACTATGGTTGCCTATGAGTCCCTTAGAAACCTGGCCTGTTATCTACTTGGCCCTTAGCAATCTACCTGTATTAACTTGTAGTGCTGCTCAGCCATGTTTCTATTTCTTCTGTCCTTCCAGGCACATGGGATGACTATACTTCCTCATACAGACATGACTGTTTAGGAGAATGAAGTGTGAGCAAAAGTGATTTGAGAGCCATTATATAACTTTTAATGCACTTTTCTCCTCCTGCTATGCTGATTAGGGAAACCATTGATATGGTGGTGCCAGAAGAGTGGAGATAAAATGTGGAAATGTGAGTTGCTGATAACACTGTACATGGAGAAAAGCTGCCCTAGAAGTTTGCCCACTGCATATAGTAGACTTTTCATAAGTGAAAAATATTGTGAGATTTGGGGTTGCTTGTTACTGAAGCAAAACATAGCCTGTCCTGATTGATACTTTGCCTTAGCATCTGTTCCTGCCCTTGTTTACTGTACTAGAATCACACCAGCCTTCTTTCAGCTCCTCAAACAAAGCAGGATCTTTTGTCCTTCAGGGTCATTACACATCCTGTTCTTTCTCCTTAGAATGATCTTACTTCTACTAGTTGTTCCACTTTTTACTCCTAACCAAGAATTCATTAAAGAAAAAATAATCAAATCCTGAAAGAATCTATAAATTAAGGGGAATAGAGAGATTGGTGCCATTGATCAGGAGGGTAAGAAGGGACATGGTTCTGATTTTCTAACTCATTCATTCGAACATTTACCAAACACCCTCTCCATGTGCTGGAGCAATAAGAAAAATGAGGCATTCTTCTTGACCTAAAGGAGCTCATAGACTTCTATGAGCTAGGACATCCCAAAACTATAGGAGGAATGGGAGAGGAAGACACAGGAAGTCAATGCTAATTGTCACAAATGCTGAAGAAGTAAAAGAGAAGAAAAATTTTAAAGAAGTCATTGAATTTGGGCAGAAGCTCATGGCTAAAGATCTTCAGAACAGAAGCAGTCTGCAGGAGGTTGATGGCTGAGAGAGAAATGAAGAGGGAGATGTAATGAACTTAAAATAATAACCCCTGCCTCTTATTGAGAATGCCAGGAACTCTTGCACACATTATTTTCTTTCTTCCTTTTTTTGGGAGGTATTGGGGATTGAACTCAGGGGTACTTGACCACTGAGACAAATCCCCAGCCCTATTTTGAATTTGTTTAGAGACAGGGTCTCACTGAGTTGCTTAGCACCTTGCTTAAGCTGAGGCTGGCTTTGAACTCATGATTCTCCTTCCTCAGCTTCCGGAGCCGCTGGGATTACAGGCATGTGCCATCATGCCCAGGTGAACACATTATTTTCAATCTTTCAAAAGTGGGCATTTTTCTCTCTTGTTTTTACAGAAACTGAAATTGAGAGATTTAAGTGGTCCAAATCCTACATCAAGAGCAGCTGGATTAAAACCCAGGTGTGCTGACTCCACACCCATGAAGTCTCCATCATCCTGTATGCAGGACAGAGGTGTCCTGCATGTACTGCCAGACCTGCAGGAGCCTTTGGAACAATGAGGAGAGAAAGTTATTTATTTTTTTTTTTTTCATTTCTAAGAGAGGTTGCCTGTGAGACCCTTTAAAAAACAAAAGCAAAGAACAAAGTTTTTTGGTTTTGGTTTTGTTTTTTAAAAGAATGCTTCCTGGGCTGGGGCTGTAGCTTAGTGGTAGAGCACTTGCGTGGCATGTGTGAGGCACTGAGTTCTATCCTCAGCACCACATAGAAATGAAGAAATAAAATGGGGCATTCTGTCCATCTACAACTACAAAAAAATTTTAAAATGAAAGAATGTTTCCTTCATTTTCATTAGAGTATAAGAAACAACTATATCTTACTAATCATCCATGAAAGGAATCACAATGAATCCTCAAATTGAAGTACATTTCTGGGCCCTCCAGGAGCAGGTGCATAGAAAGAGAATCTGAGAAGAGAGAAAATCACCTTGGGAGTGTTTAAATGTCATTGATGAAGTTAAACAGTGACGATTCACATCACCCACAGCACCTACTTGACTCTTAGGTTTAAAAACACGTATTGGACCTAAGGAAGGACATGAGGGATCCAAGTTAAGCTAAAAATGGGGCAGACTGTGGAAAAAAATTTTCAAGAAAGAGTATTCATTTTTTTGTTGTTTTTTCTCAGTCTTCTATAACTATATATTTTCAATAATGGGAAGTCTTTAATATGCAGTTAATTTGCAGGGAGAGAAGAGAGAAAGATGAAAAAAGGAAGAGAGGAAAGGATGGAAGGAGATTAGTCTGTGACGAGGCTGGCATGTCTCAGTGACAGGTGACAGATGGCCACCTTTCCTAAGGACCCCTTAAACACACAAAATAGTTTGGCCCTGATCTGACCCTGTTTACTCAGGGCGACCATATCCTATGGGAGACTACAAATGCAATGGTGTGGTTGCTACAAATGGGTGTAATGACTTCTAAGTGACACGGCCCCCAAGATATAGCAGTCAGGAAAAGGTTCTGAACGCTCAGACTCGTATTATTCAGAATATATTGAGGGAGGAGTCAGAAAATATTGAAAACAAGATTGTCTATGCCCCTTGAGCCCTGGGCAATACTCAGGTACTCCATTGGCTAAAGTCCCCACTCTGTTTCAGAATTCTCCTTTTTCAGGGTGTCCTACTGGATCCCCCAAAGAATGGACATCCAGGGCACCATGGTGAACTCTTCTTACAGAAGCAGATGCTTGATCCAACAGTACTATCTGATCCTAAATGGTGAGCAATCTGACCTCTTGGTGTTTTGAAGGTCAAGATCATTCATGTTCCCACTATGAAGTTCATTTCCCGCAGTTCTTACATTTGGGATAGTCCAGCTGTTGCTGGGAGCTAGAGGCTCTGCCTTGCTGGCTTTTTGATGAGACAGATCTGTGTGGCTCAGCAGAAAACGTCAGGTTGGGCCATATAAGCCCAGGTTCCGGGCAGCTTCGGAAATCCTGGGAGTTTTCCTCCGGGGAAACGGATAGTAAGCAGGTCTGCCAGACCTGTGGGAGTCCTTTATGGAAGGAAGAAACTGAACGTCGGTTTTTAAGCTGGGTCCCACGATCTTTGTTGGGGAACTGCCCACCTGACATTGACCCTGGGCCCTCTCTGGGAGTTTGGTTCCTTGCAGAGTCGGGTGACTGTTTTCAAACAAGTGTGGGTCTCCTTCTGGTCGGAGCCTTTGGTCAGACCCCACAGGCTGGCCCTGGGGCTTCACTTGGCTGGTTTCATGGTGGAAGGTTTGGACTAAGCGATGCATCTCTAGGTGCGTGTGCCATGGAGACTCAGGAGTCTGAAGACCGCTTTGGTGGGCTTCTTCCAGAACCCCCTCCACCTCAGGATCTGCCTCTTCCAGGGAGAGGGTGCTCCTTGACTCCTTGTTAATCCAAACAGGACTGATCATGGATTCAGCAGAATTATGCGTGTGTCCTCCTGAGAAAAGAAGGCGTCAGCAGCGTCATCACGGGAAGATACACAGGCAGCTCTCTCTCTGTCCAAGCAAAAAAGCTCAGAGCTTTCAGGATAAAGAAAGGCCATACCCAGAATGTCCAGTGCACGTGTGCAGATACACAGAGACACACATGGTCCCGCTTGCTCAGGCACACATGAACCCCCACCCAAGGCACACCTACTCACATACAATTACATTGTTATTCAATAAATAGTCATTGAGGACTGAAGATGTGCCAGGCCTCATTTTTTCTAGGTCCCAGGAATATAGCAGGGAACATTGAGAAAAAAACCCACATCTTCATCTGGATTTGTCCTTGAAAAGCAGAAAGACAATAAGCAAATTAATTATGGAAAAACTCAAGCATAGTGGAGGATTAAAAGTGAAGGGTGTGAGCTCTGGGAAGAGAGATGGGAATCAGCATTTGAGGTCAGAAAAATAGTAGGAGCAAGAGATAACACATATGCTGCTGTAATTTGGCTTTGGAGTGTCCTCCAAATGTCCCTGTGTTAGAGGGTTGGCTCCCAACATGTGGTGCTATTGGAAGATGGTGGAATCTTTAAAAGGTGAAGCACCTTTAAAGGAAGGAAGTTGGGCCATTGGGCTGCCCTTGAAGGGACTACTGGGGCAGCAGCCTCTTTCTCTCTTTTGGTTTACCAGCTACTATTAAGTGAGTAACCTTTTCCACCACACACTTTCATCATGATGTACTATATTGCCACAGGTCCAAAGCAATGACTGTGGATTGAACCGATGAAACTGTGAGCCAAAATAAGTCTTTCCTCCTTTTAAGTTGATTTTCTCAGGCATTTTGTCATAGTAGCAGCACACTGACTCACACACTCACATGCATGTAGATACATTTACACTCTCCAGGGGAAAAGGTTATTTCTATTTATTTTTGTATTTTTTACAGTGCTAGGGATCAAATCCAGGGCCTTGTACTTGCTAGACAAGTACTCTACCACTGAGGTACAACCCAGTCCTTTTTATATGAGTTAGAGTCTCACTAAGTTGCCCAGGCTAGCCTTGAACTTGTGATCCTCCTGCCTCAGCATCCCAAGTAGCTGGTATTACAGGTGTGTACCACCATGTCTGATAGAAATTTATGGGGTTTGTATCTTTCCTGAGATTCTGATAATGAGTTTACAGAGGAAGGAGGAGCCGTGTTCTGAAGTACCTCCTTGTAGAGAACTGGCCATTTTCCTTCTCCTAGACTACAGACACTGAGCAGCTTTGCTTTTCCAAACTGGTTTCAGAGGTGAAGATGCAGACTGATGTCTCCCTTCTTTCTCAGGAATATTACTATTACTTTTGGGGGGGGGGGCAGTTACCAGGGATTGAACCCACGGGCACTTAAACACTGAGCCACATCCCCAGCCTGTTTTTGTATTTTATTTACAGACAGGGTCTCAGTGAGTTGCTTAGAGCCTTGATAAATTGCTGAGGCTGGCTTTGAACTCCTGATCCTCCTGCCTCATCCTCCTGAGCTGCTGGAATTACAGGCATGCACCACCACACCTGGCCACTATTACTTTTTCCCCCCACCATTTTGTTGAAAATGGTAATTCCTTGTGAACTCTCAGTGGCACGGGGGTTGAAGGGATGGCAGAAAGGCATTTTCTTATAGAAAGCTAGTCAGTGACTGGTCTGGGGGTCCTCTGAGATGTCAGTCAAGTTTTCTTGAGTGTCCTGGCCCCTCTTACCTTAAAGAGGCCCCAAAAGTGACAAAGTACACAGCAAGAGTGGGGAGGAGATTGTGTTGGAGGAAGAAAAATCAGAAGAAAACCCTTGAGCCCGGATTCTAGGAATCCCAAAGAAATGGAAGGAACAGAAGATAGAGGCATGCATCTCTAGAGAAGCCAGTCCTGCCTACAGAATTCTATTTAATGACAGGGTCTTACTGAGCTGCTTAGTGCCTCCCCACTGCTGAGGCTGGCTACACTGCTGAGGCTGGCTTTGAACTCAAGACCTCCTGCCTCAGCCTCCTGAGCCTCTGGGATTACAGGCATGAGCCACTGAGCCCCGCAGCAGCTGCACTATATCCTTAAAGTGACAAGCACGAAAACCTTTACAGATATTCTGAAGCCTATGTGCTTATGGGAGAACAAGGAAGGGCAGGGATATAATGGGAGAAGCTAGGAACTGGTCTCCAGCAGGAAAGGGCCCATGGTAGACAGGCAGGTCTTCAGAGGAGTACCTGCTGAACTGTCCATCCCAGCCTGCAGTCCAAAGTGGACAAAGGAGAGAATGTAGCATAGCCAAACCCCTGGACTTGACCCCAGAGCAGAACCTTTGTTGCAATTTCCCCCATACTTTCGAAATAGTGCTGCTTCTGCTCTGTCCAAGCAAAAAAAGAATTAAGGCAATTGAAGAACATAGAATAATTTCATACCATTTTTGTTCTTTAAATCTGTTTTGTTTGGGTCTGCAGGGGACTGGGAATGGCAAACTTGGGCTCTGCTCTAAGACCTCATGCATGACCGCCACTTCATTATATAGCATGCTACCTGTCACAATTACATAAAGGTTGTAGCACCACAAACTGCTACAAGTGTCCTGAGAGACCCTGACCTGCCTGGGGGACCTGAGTACTCTTTGCATTAACCTGCCATGAAGTATCACATGGTCGTGTTGGAAAAGGAAGCACTGTTACCAAGTGCAGGAGAAAGGATCATCAGGGAGGGTGGGGCCGGGGAGGGTGGATTCTATGGGAAATGACAAGTATGAGGTATTTTTAATATTTTTGAATCATGCCCTTAAGAAATTGGATTTGTGAGTCTGAATTGCAGGTGTGTTAAACACGGTTTTCATTGCATGTGGGTGTAATTTAGTAAATGTCTGCTGAATGCCTGAAGGTATACTCCTGAGAGTGGGATAGGGCATTAGAATTTTGCAGCTTATGCCCTGCTGAGGTGGGGCCTTTGGCTGTGCCAGTTCCATCCAGATGGATCCCACTGGTTGGCAACAGCCCGAGTAGTGAGAGCTGGGCTCCTTCCGTTCAGAAGTGCCCTATTTGTCTCCCAAAGCTTTCCTTTGGTGGCCTTTTGGAGAGCCTTCTTTTGAAGGGCACTTCCTGCCCTGGACAGTGAGGTCCCTCTGGGCCCTGATTCCTTCTTAGGCTGACTTGACAAAAGGGAGACCACTCCAGCTTTGTTTTGCTCTCCTTTCTTTCTCCCCACTGAACTGAACTAATACCTGCAGAAACTCTGAGGGTGTGACTTTGACCTTTCAGAGGCTCTTCCCTCCTCCCTTGGCCTGTTCCACTCTGTTGGAGGATGAATGGCTCGGATTTGTCAACTACTTACTTTCTGAGCCTCTGTGTCCTTAACTTCATCCTGGAATGAAATCTGAGTTCCTAAAGGGGCTGGGGGTCTCCCCATGAGAAGGGGGCTTTGTGCCTGATCATACTGCCCTGGCTGCTGTTTGAGGCTAGATGAGCCTGGGGTGCTTCATGGACCCCGAGTCCTGTACTTCCTCTGGCCCAGGATTGTGGGAATACCATGTCTTCTTTCTCCAGAGCCAGTTCCTTGGGTCTGCAGTTGGTACCTCTGTTAAATTCAGGCAGGAAGCAGAGTGTCTATCACCCCAGCTGGCTGAGCAAGGGGGCACACCTGGTTCACCAGGCTGACCAGTCTAGCAAGCTCAGTACCCAGGTGCACAGGCCAGGAACTGCTCTACTGGTCAGATGCCTGGCTGAGGCCCTTGGCTGACTTGGCCTGGGGGAAGATGGTGTGGAGCTGTCCTGCTCAGGTCTCCCCTGATCTGGGTCTGACTCTGCTGTTCTCCAGTAAGAGACTGGCAGAGCAGGGCCCTGCCCTCCATTTAGCCCACAGACAAGTCCTCCTCCCCTAGCACTTGCCCAGCTTTACCTTTGGGGAGCACCAGGAGGTGGATCTGGGTCCTCTGCTGCCTCTTCAGGCCTTCATACTGGGCTCGCAGGAGCTGGATGCTGACAGGGGGTCCTTGCCCCGGGGCCTGAGTGCAGGAGGAGCCTTCAGCCATGAAGCAGGACCCTGGGTGCCCAAAGCCCAGCAGGGCAGGCCACGGGCAGGCCAATCCCTTCATCCGGATCCGGGAGAAAAACAAACACTGAGGGGTGAGGCAGGGGGAAGGGGAGGGGGAGAGAGGGAGGGGGATAGGCAGAGGGGGGCGGTGGGTGCAAAGGGAGGGTGGAGAGCAGAGCAGGAAGTGAGGAGAGAAGGTGGAAGGAGAAAGGGGAGGAGAGAAATGAAGGGAAGGGAAAGGTAGAGAGGGGGAAAAACTGAAGGGAGGGGAGAAGGAGGGAGGTTGGAGGTGGGAAGAAAGAGGAGAAAGAGAAGTCCTAGTGAGAAGGAAGATTTGGAGAGGGGACAAGGAAAGGGGAGGAGGAAGGAGGTGATGGTGACAAGGAGGGATGGATGGGGCTAGAGAAGAGCAGGAAGATGGTGCAGGCGGGAAGCAGGGACGAGGGGTGGGGGATGAAGGGAAGGCAGGCACAGCTGCTGAGGTCCTCTGTGAGGCCCAGGAGGTCTCTTACTCCAAGTCCTCCACTGCTTGATCCTGAAGTTTAGAATCCAATTCCAAGAGCTATAGGGAGCTCCCCCATTTCCTGCAGCACTGGAGCCCAAACTGAGGAACGCAGGTGCCTGCCCAGCTCACACACCTCGGGCTGGACACAGGTTTTGTTGGCTCATCAAAACCTGCTGGCTTCGTTTGCAGCTGTCAAAAGCAACCCCACACCAGGCGCAATGGTGCACTCCTGTAATCCCAGCTGCTCTGGAGGCTGAGGCCGGAGGATCAGGAGTTCGAAGCCAGCCTCAGCAACATCGAGGCGCTAAGCAACTCAGGGAGACCCTGTCTCTAAATGAAATACAAAATAGGGCTGAGGATGTGGCTCAGTGGTCGAGTGACTCTGAGTTCAATCCCCGGTACCAAAAATAAATAAATAAATAAAATTAAAAATAAAAAAGCAACTCGGCAGCAGCCCCACAGAGCTGGTGCTGGAGATGCTGCACTGTGGCCGTGTATTAGGGGAATTCACAGCAAAGACCAACGTAAGATCTCATGTCAGATCCTGACACACACCCTGGGCAAAAGCCCAGCCCCAAAGTCTGCCATGGGACAGAGCCCAGGGGAGCCCTGGCCTTGAGCCAGCCCCACCCCTTTGACATTCGATGCAGCCTCTGTGGTCTTGGTATTTGCCAACCAAGCAGTACATTGATGTTTCTCTCACCCACAGCCAGGTGCCACCTCCCGCTCTGCTTGCCAGCTCCACCATCTCTACATCCCCTTCGAATGCCAGATGGTCCCTCTGTGTTACCTCAGCTGTGACCTATCCTGTTCCACTTGGTCAACTAAGTCCTTTTCTGTCTTCTTCTAATATGATGCTCACAGATTGCCAGTTACCCAATATCCTTGCAGAGACAAGGCAAAGGGAACAGGACACTTTCATGTTCAGAGATGAGACGGACAGGATCCAGCAGGGACCGGGGAGATGGAGGGCACATCTTCATTGGACGACATATTTGTTTCCTGGGGCTGTCATAACAAAGGCCCACAACCTGGGTGGCTTCAGCAATAGATTTTTCTTTTTGTCCCCCAGTTCTGGAGGCTGCAAGTCTAAGATCAAGGCGTTGGCAGGTTCAGTTCCTTCTGGGGGCTGGGAGGGAGACTCTGTTCTGTGTCTCCTACTTCAGGTGGTGGACTGCCGGTCCTTGGGGCTGTTGACTTATAAAAGAATCACCTGATCTTTGTCTTCACATGATGTTCTCCCTGCGTGTCTTAGTGTCCCAATTTCTCCTTTTTATAAGGTCACCAGTCATTGGATTAGGGCCCAGCTTAATGACCTCATCTTAACTTAGAACTAATGAAATTTACAATGAACTTATTTCCAAATAAGGTCATGCTGTGAGATTCCAGGAGGACATGGGAACCAGGAGGACACAATTTGGCTCATGTTAGGTAGAAGGATGACAGTCCCTTCACGGAGATAGGCTCAGGGGGAGGAGCAGGTTAGGGGAAGCAAGAAGAAGGGGATTTGTTTTAGATGGTATATTTGAGGTGCCTATGGTCATCTGGAGGGTGTTGGACACTTGATAGAAAGACCTGAGCTGGAAATGCAGATGTCATTATTTGTGAAAATGTGGCAAAACTTCTACCATGAGTCAGGTACACATAAAATCAAGATATGGGTTCTTTCCTTTTTTCTTTTTGGTGTCCCCACTAGTTTCAAGTTCATGTTCACTGGGCAGTGAAGTCATCCTTTATGCTCCTGACTTCATCTTTCTCCTCTCTTTTCCCAGGTCTAACTTCTTTCTCTTGGGCCCTGGTTCATGATAATATTCGAACTATTTGAGGAAGGGTGAATGTTTCAGGATGGATGGGTCTTCTCCAAGATGACTTTTAACATACCCTCTGGGTTCTGATGTGTCTTAAAGTTGCCTTCTTTATGTCATCAAGGCCCCTTCCTAGGATCCCAGCTTGCGTTGAATAGCACTCCCTCAGTGGTGGAGGTGTGAGCTCTTGGAAGAGGGCTCTGGAGGAGAAAAATACCCACCCTACCTCCTAGGGATGGAAGTCTTCTGTTTGATGTGCCAACTGAAGGCTGGGAATTGGATGAGGTTTTTAACTGAGGGTGTTTTAAGAGACCACATGCTGGAGAAGACCAGTATTTAAGAAGTAAGAAGGAAACGTTGGAAACTAAAAAAAAAGTGTAGCACAATGATAGGAGAAACAGTGAGGAGGGGCTTCCCAGACTATAAAGGTGGTCAGAATGGCCCAGGACAATCTCCTGGTCTCCCTACCTGCCCTATGGAAGAGCACCTGAGCTCTTGGTGTGCATGGTTCGTTATCCGCCTGGCTACATGGTAAAAACTCCACTGCTCAACTGCCTCCTCGGAATATTCTGATTCATTTAGTCCGAGGAGAGAATATTGGAAGAATTCAATGAGTCTGGGAGGAGAATGTTAGTATATTTTTTTTTGGGGGGGAGGGTACTGGGGATTGTACTCAGGGGCACTTGACCCCTGAGCCACATCCCCAGCCCTATTTTGTATTTTATTTAGAGACAGGGTCTCACTGAGTTGCTTAGTGCCTCACCATTGCTGAGGCTGGCTTTGAACTTGCAATCCTCCTGTCTCAGCCTCCACAGCCTCTGAGATCACAGGCATGCGCCACTGTGCCTGGCTGGAAGATTGGTAAATTTCTAAAGTTCTCCACTGCCCTACTTTTATGGTTCCCTAGGTCTATATTTACCCATTTTTTTTTCTGGGTTCCTGGGTCCCTGGATAAGGAATAGGTAGTGGGAGATGGCCAAAGCTGCTTCATCTCTTTTTATCACTGGGTCTCTCCACCTGAACATGGGACCTTTCCCTGCTGGTCCAGCTGCACCTGCCGTAAAATTGGGCTCAATTTCTACTGTACTTTAGCATTTTCTGTCAGCACTTATCTTTTGGTATTAACAGTTTTTGTCTTTTCATTGTGTTTGTCATTTCCATGAGAATTAGGTAGAGGCTGCTATTCTAATATTATCATTATCATTTTGCAGTGCTGAGGATCAAATGTAAGGGCCTTGTACATCTTAGGCAAATGTTCTACCACTGAAGGACATTCACAAGTTCCTTTTTTTTTTAGTTCATATGGTTTCTCTGTTTTAATATCAATATCTTTAATCCATTTGAAATTGATTTTATTGGTAGAGTGTTAGGTATAAGGCAAGAATCTAGCTCTTCTTTTCCTTCAAATAATCATCAATTGTCATAATACCACTTATTGAACAAGCCTTCCTTTCCTTGTCCTTTGTGATAACAGTAATGATAGTGTGAGGGGAAATGGCAATGGTATCCCATCCTGAAGAGTCTTTAGAAATAATTTAAAAATATGATTGAGGCCAGAGCCCTTGCTGGAAAATGACTGACCACTGCCACCTCAGGGTGATAGACCCCCCCAGGGAAGCAGGAAGTAAACTACAAGGATGCTCAGGGTTCAAGATTTTGGAGTAGGAATGAAATACTGTGTTATTTGAGGAAATCTTTTCTATCTATATGTATTTATATTTTACCTGCTACATGTCTGATTGAAAAAGAGTCACGTGCTTCATCTAGCAGGTTGGCTCATGAAAGGAACCCACTCTTCCCATGGCTCTTGCTGGAGCTTATGGTAGTGCAAATTGGACCTAGAGGACCCAAGACCACTGGGTGCAAGGGATCCAGCTGCTCAATGAACCCTGGGTGGTGACAGATGCCATTCACCCCTGGGGCACCACTCCTGAGACAGCACTTTCACTGGAGACCCTGCAACACAAAGATCAGTGTTGGTGGGTGGAGATTCAGAGACTTGAAGAGAAAACCCTCAGGGGAGTTGGTTTGAGAGTCAAAATTTTGGAAGGCCAGGTGATCAGTGGGGGCAGGCAGGAGAGAGTCCTGCCCTTGTGAAGGACTTCAGCTTGGGTTTCTTTTTACTGGTGACTCCAGGAGTGCTTAAGTTTCTTGGATTCTTAGCTTTTCCTCTTCCTACAATAATTTCATTCTGAGGTAATCCCACCCCTACAGCTAGTGAGGTAGGCTGGTTGGTAAGGAAAGGAAGTCTTCTCTCTGGTTCCAGTGAAGGGGACCTCATCCTGTGGAGTGGACTGTAATTTGGGGGTCTGTATGGTAACAGGCAGTGTAATAGGAGAGCCAGGGGCAAAGGAGAAGGACTCCGGTATCAAGAAGTGTTCCAGGTCAAACTTATAAAATCCAAATTCTCAGTCTTATAGAGTAAGGGAGATTCCTCTGAAAAAGGAGAAAGTAGACAAGACATACGAAAACAGTTACATTTCCTGAGCCCAAACGGCAATGGACCAAGTAGGTACTAATCGCTCTGTGCATATTCAAAAATTTTTATTATGATAAAATATGCATAACCCCAAATTTACTCTTGTTAACTATTTTTAAGTGTACAACTCAGTGGCACTAAGTATATTCACAGTGTTGTGCAACAATCACCACTATCCATTTCCAGAGCATTTTCAACCTCCCAGATGGAAATTCTATATTCATTAACTAATAGACTTCCCCATTACCATTTCAATGAAGGCCTGCTAACCT